AGCCCCCTTCCTTTTTTTTTGGGGGGGGGGGGGCGCAGGAAACCCGTGTTTTTGTTTTTGCTTCAAAGGTGTACTAGAAGGAAGCCCCTTCTTTTTTTGGGGGGTGGGGGGGAGGACACCCGTTTTTGTTCTTGTGTCTAGAGTCTAAAGGTACACTAGAAGGAACCCCCGATTTTGAGACAGCCAAGTTGCCTCACCACCCCGACCGTCAGGCTCTCGTTGTTTCGGCGCGCAAGGCCCAGCGGACCTCCCTGGCCGTGGCCGGCACCTCCGCTCTGGCGGTGACCGCCTCCCTGGGCGGCGACCCAGGAGGGGTCCGGGGATGGGTCGGGGTGCGACGAGTCCGGGCGGAAGGATCCGGTGGGGATTCTTCCAAGAAGACTCAGAACCGATGGGCTGCTTTTTCTTCGTAGTTTTTCCTGGCCCTGGCACCTGGGAGGTCTAATTAAGAGGAAATTGAGAAAGCCTTTCCAGGGCGACGAGGTGGGAGGAAGGGGACCTGGAATCTCCACGTCTCCACCCTGGAAAAAGTGGGGTATACACAAACTGTTCTAGTCGTGGAGACTCCAGGTAGGCGAAACGAAATCCTGGGATGGTCCGAACCTTCCGTTTTTTAGTTTTGTCTTCACAGAAAGGGGTATCTCGCACAACATGCTGTGCATGGACTAGCCAATTCGCACCAGTTTGTAGGTGGTTCATTCCAGTATTCCAAAGGTTTCATCCATCCCAGCTGGTGCAAACTAAATTTGTCCATCCACAGTGCCTCAGGGGCAAGCCCGAGGTTCTAACAATCGAACTTGGGGGGTTGAAGGTAACGGAGAGCCCCAACCATTAGGGGACCTGTTTAACCGGTTCTGAGAAGGGGTTCCGATTTCGGATCCCTCAGGACAATCGTGTGCGCATCCAAAACGAAAACTTTTCTTGGAACCGGAGCATCCTGGGCCTTTTTTGTTCCATTTGGAACATGGCCCGAACCATGGCGTATGCATTCAGCTTTCGTTTGTTGAGATACACATGACGAAATGCCCTCCCCTCAAGCTCGCAGAAAGCAGCAGGTCCAACGGGTTCTCCAAAGCAAAACACGAACCCAAAGCAAAGCCGAAGACGCGCGAAGATGAGAGCCAGGCTTCATCAACATGTTGAACACCTTCGGACTTGCCGGTGCGGCCGGTTACCAGGCGACATGGCGAATTCTTACGCCGGGCGGTTTGGGCGTCCGTTGCAAGTAACCGGGGTTGGGCCGATGCCCCCATTTTGATTCTTGGTTGCAGAAAACCCACACAAATCAGATTGAGAGCATGACCCGAAGCTTCAAGGTAATCTGTCCAGTTCCCCAGATTGAAGGCAAAAGGAAAGCATTGCGTTGCACCCAAGAGGATTCCCCAGAATCTGGGAAAACGATGGGAAAGAAGTTGGGAAATAATTGAGAACAGTTGGGAACAGTTAGGATAGTGTGGGCAAAGTGTGGAGCAAGTTGGGAGTTGTTTTTCTTCTTTTTGTGTGTGTATGCGTGTGTGCGTGTGTGCGTGTGTGCGTGTGGGCGTGTGTGCGTGTTTGTATGTGTGGCGGTCGCTGTGTCTGTGTTTGTGTCTGTTTCTCTGTCTGTGTCTGTCCGTGTGTGTGTGTGTGTACTTGTGTGTGTATGTGTGCATGCGTCTATATTAGATGAGTGTGTTTGTTTGTTTGTTTGTTTGTTTGTTTGTTTGTTTGTTTGTTCGTTCGTTTGTTCGTTCGTTCGTGAAATCCTGGGGGGGGGGGGTAGAACTGGGAAGTGTTGGTTTTGTGTGGGCTGACAAGGGTGGCTCTGGGGACCGTAGTTTTCTTTGAAGATGCACTTTGAAGGGATATCTGCTGCTTTCGCCGTGTAACAGCTGAAGAGGACTTCCCATTGCTAGGGGCGGGGAGCTCGCCTCCAACTCTGACGACATGAGAATGCGGACTTTGGGACTGCGGGAATGAACCTCCACCAAAATGAAATTGAGTTTCAGGACCCCGGACTGCCATCCCATAGGCCCACTTGCCATTTGCCTTCGCACTTTGGGGCAAGGAACAGACTTGTGTGGGGCCAGTAACCACAGGATATGTTTACAAGAATACGTGTGACAAGCAACCCGTGAGCTATGAGCGCAAGCAAAGTTTGGCATCCGCGGCGACTGGGGCAGAGACAGCTCCCGTAAAAAGTGCAACGTGCTCTCTCATCAAACTGGGCATTATCAGAAACCGGGCTCTCATTGTGAATGGCGTTTACCGAAAAAAAAAACCGCAGGATATCCTTTGCCCTTCCCGGGGTTCTGACGTTTCAAACATCTCAGCAACCGAAGGCGCCGAATCCAGGGGGAGGGAGGAGAGCCGAGTTCCAGGAAATCGCCTCCTATCAACTCACTTGCCCACAGCCAACCTTTTGACCTTTTTGGTTTTCCCTGTTTGGTCCACTCTTAGTAAAGTAAAAGGCCCGAAAAGGTGAACCACCTTTTGCTTCTAGGTCCTCAACCAACTCCAACAAGTAGCCGCAAACACAGACCCACCTTGGACGTCTTCAGCGCAAGCGAAGCGCCGGCGAAGCGAAGCGATTCGCCAGGTGGTGTGGGGAGTGAGCCACGCGCTGCACACGCCTTTGATGGCGGTGACCAATGCCATCAGCGGCCTCACCGCGGCGGGAGGCGAGCGAAAAATCTTCGGGGTTTCGCTCGGTGGGGCAAACGGGCATTCAAGTTCCGGATGGTGGTTTCCCGAGCCATCCGGTTCCTTAGCTTTTTAGCTTTTTTAGCTTTTTAGCTTTTTAGTGGTGAGTGTCCATTTCACCCGCTAAGAGTTGAGCTTTCGGCAGGGTTGCGTTTGAGCATAGCTTTTTTTTACATGTTCCCCTGTTGGATTTGAACGGAATTTACGTTCTTCACGTGTTGACATGGTTGAGGTTCACAAACTATGGACCTGAACTAAACATGCGTTTGGCAAAAGCTGAGGACCTAAACCCAGACCTCCAGGAGGTTTGGGGGGAGATACGGTGTATGCCCTAAATATTACTGAGTATTCAATTCCCCGAGCAGATGCTTGATGCCATCCCTGGGCCCTCTTCTTACTTTTCATGCTTGCCATGCTTGAGTCCTCAAGCAACCGTCACAAACCATTGTAATTTGCGAACCCACAATCCATTGTAGCTTCTTCCTTGGGGTATATACCAACCTTATACAGGGCTTCGGCGACGGGACCCGCCTGATGCACTCCAAATGGTTGTTTTGCTTTATTGCTTCGCTTCAGAAATCCCAAAGTGGGTGTCTCGAAAACGTGGTGAAGGACCGGGAATACTTGTTACGATCACCTAGTGGCACTGGGGGCAAATTGTCAATGTGAGCGCACATATGGTGGTTTTGCCCCCCCCCCCCCCCGCCAAAGGCCGAAGGCCGCACCGGATTCGCCTGCAGGTCTGATGCTGATGGGCGCCGGCGGGCCGCCGCTAGCACAGGGCCTGGCGCAGGCGAGGGCGGTGCTTGGGATGGTTGGCATTTTTGAGTATACTCGCCATCGGGATGAGGACCTTAACTCACCATGAAGCATGGTTGCACATAGGAAATGAGCCAAAGTCATGGCTTCGGTCAACCCATGCCCGGCTGACACAGACACATACACACAGACACACCCACACGCAGACGCACACAGACGCAGAGACACCCACACACACACACACACACACACACAAAGACACAGACACACAGACACGCAGACGCACAGACGCACAGACGCGCAGACGCGCAGACGCAGAGACACACAACCGACACACAGACACATAGACTCACAGACACACAGACACACGGACACACAGAAACACAGACACGTAGACACAGACACACACCGACACAGACACAGACACAGACACAGACCCAGACACACAGACACAGACACAGACTCACACACACACAGACACAGACACAGACACAGACACAGACACAGACACAGACACAGACACAGACACAGACACAGACACAGACACAGACACAGACACAGACACAGACACAGACACACACAGACACAGACACACACACACACACACACACACACACACACACACACACACACACACACACACACACACACACACACACACACACACACACACACACACACACACACACACACACACACACACACACACACACACACACACACACACACACACACACACACACACACACACACACACACACACACACACACACACACACACACACACACACACACACACACACACACACACACACACACACACACACACACACACACACACACACACACACACACACACACACACACACACACACACACACACACACACACACACACACACACACACACACACACACACACACACACACACACACACACACACACACACACACACACACACACACACACACACACACACACACACACACACACACACACACACACACACACACACACACACACACACACACACACACACACACACACACACACACACACACACACACACACACACACACACACACACACACACACACACACACACACACACACACACACACACACACACACACACACACACACACACACACACACACACACACACACACACACACACACACACACACACACACACACACACACACACACACACACACACACAACACACACACACACACACAACACACACACACACACACACGGACAGCTATACACACAGACGCACAAGCACGCACGGACACCCGCACGCTCACACGCCATGCCTACACACCCCAGCGCTCGCACGCCCACGCGCCCGCAAAGCCCACGCCGACGCCCCCATGCGCGCACGCTCGCACGCCCGCACGTCAGCACGGTTCACACACCCATGAGGACACGCGTGCACGCGTACGCGTAAGCGCCACAGCCAACGCACGCGCGCCCACGTGCAGCCACGAGCGTGCACGCGCACACGCGCACGCGCGCATGTGCGTGCTTATGCACGTTCACGCGCCCCGCACGCGCTTTTGCCCAAGGGCACAAGCGCACCCACGAGCACGCATGCGCACGCACACGAATTCTGGCGCGTTCGAGGCGTCCGTGGCCATCTCCGCGGTGAACATCGCGGGAGGCTTCGTGGCCGGGAAACCCAGCAGACTCGGGCTTTTTGCAAGCCTATAAAGCAATCCCAAGCCTGTTTCCGTCGTTGTTGTGTTGTTCTTCTGGCTTTTTTTTGTTGTTTGGGGGGGGGGGTGCGCATGCTCATAGGTCCGTTACCTCAGGATTCCTCATGTTCGATTTGTGAATTATAGTAGTTTGCCCATGAAATGAATGGGTTTCCAAGTCTGCCTTCGAATGGTCGGCCCTTCGGGCGCCGGGAGTCGCCAAGGTCACGAAGCGCATGCTGGACCTCTTCCGAAAGCCCGGGGAGGTGGGTCGGGACGATGCACCGGTCATTTGTCTTTGAACTAATTTTATCTTTGGTTCCCTAATATGGACCTCGGCTTGGGGCAAAGCTCTGGTACAGGGCTTGGATGTTTCGGTTTGGTAGAAAGGTCTGGTCTTGGCTCCGATCCCCGGAGCCTTAGGGCCTTAGGGCCATAGGGCCTGGGAATGCTCACATGTCTTGGGGTCCATGTGAAGACTATCCCGATGTCGTTTGGTTTGGTGACGCCCCAAGTTCTGCTTTCCTTTTGACTTCGTTTGCCTCATAGGCAGACTACACCACGATCTACCTCATGCCGGCGGCAGGCCTTGCAGAGCCCTGGCTGTCAAGACCTGGCTGCGATTTCAATAGGGTCCTCAAAAGTGGCTGGTAGACATACGCACCTAATTCATATCCACTCGAGAGTCTCCATTCGAATTCATGCCCACATGGCTTTCTCCTCCTTCCAAGTAAACCTCAGGCGAATGGAGGGATACCGTGAGCCGCACCCTTTGTGGGCACTTGGATGTTCAAGCCAAGATAGTTGCAACCATGGCTGCGCAGTATCGGGGGGGGTGGGGTAGCAAGGCTTGACCAATGCCCAGGGTTATAACCTACCAGACACTTTCTAAATGGGTGTAACATCTGCGTAAGCTTAGTCCGTCCACGCGGACTGTCAACGCAGAGATGGAGGGCAGCTCCTCTCTGGAGCCCGGACGCGAAGCAAGCATGCGACGCGTGCAATCAAGACAAGAGGCGCATCCGAGACTGGTACCCATGGCATCTCTCTTTTTTTTGTCTGGAGAAGTCGTGGGAAAACAAATATGCTGGGAAGCTTTTGGCGGCAGTCATACACCATCTCTGGTGTAGCTGGTTGCCCACCCACACTCGGCGTCCCTCTCGAATGTCTCGCGCATTTACATCGCAAGCGGGTGTCTTACTTTGCCGGACCAAGAAACATGGATTGACTCCGTGAGTTCATGGACTTTAAACTTTTGGGCAGACCATGTTAGTATATTTTAGCGGCACACAAAACGTTTAGACTCTTTTTTTGCGCCATCCACTCAAGAAGTGAGTGGAAGTGCACACACCCCACTTGGAATTAGTCCTTTTGGGCAGGGGGTTGTGCACTTCCATCTCCTTCCGCCAACCTTCCACTCAGGTGGTGCCTTTCGTGCTCACCTCTGCCGCACCGACTGTGGGCACTCTCTCAGGCTCGGAATGTGCGCCGTGAGATGACTCTTCCTTCAATGTGAGAGGTTACCTGGAAGAACTTTTTCGCCTCAAGGGACCCCTGTCAGCCATATTGGCGGGGAGGTTTGTGGAGGGACCCACCACAAAGCTACGGGCTTGTTGGGGATGATCCCGACCCAAACCTCATGCGGTTTTTGGCGACCAGACCGCTGTCCCTTGTGCTTTGGGGCAGCTTCCATGGTGGGGGTTTGATAGACTTCACCCACTTATTTGAGGCCAGTTTGGGTCATTGGAACTGTCACCAACGTTGGTTTCCGCTAAGGCTCAACTCCCTTTGTGACCCATGATTTCAGGCAAAAGGGCTCCTAAATCGCAGGTGAGTTCTTGAGCCTTTTGCCGTAGAAAGGGAGATGGGACTATTTGTTGGTTGTTTGCCCTCATGGTTTTCCCTAGAATTCATCCAACGGGGAGTCCCTCGCTTTTCCTTTGTAATCCGTTCGACATGGCTGCAGAGTGCAGAAGTGAGCATACAACAAGCCAACAGGGGTATGGGGTGAAGCAAGAAGCTGGCCCCCAAGTTCGGGCAAAAACCCAACGTGGCTTCAATCAGCATAACACTGTTTGTTACGGACTATATTGACGAGGGGTAATACATGTGTTTTTGTGTAAGTATATGTACATTAATATAGAAAGACATACATATGGCTTCCGTTCAAAAAGGCCGGCTAAGGAGCTATATACAGTATGTGCATAATTCCTGTTGCATCTGGTTTTTCCTTTTCGAAATGAAGCGGGCCCCCACCTAAATCATGCAAATCCCACTGGCAGCGCTAGCTCGGCGCTAGGTCGGGGACGTTAGTTGGGGTGGCGTGTGAGATGCGCACGCATGGCCTAGTGTCCGGTCGCTCTCAGGGCTCGAGGCATTCCTTGCTCGCAAGCGAAAGTGCTGCGTCTGCTACGAAATCTGCACGTGTCTTTTGCGAAAGTGCTGCGCCTGCCATGCCTGCCCTTCCGAAAGCATTGCGCCTGTCGCGATAATCTGTACCTGACCGTGCGACACGTGACCCTGCGAAAAATCTGAAAACATAGGCAGTTTTCCGTGCTAGCACCGCGCTAGACCGCGCTAGCACCGCGCTAGCACCGCGCTAGCGCCGCGCTAGCACCGCCCGCGCTGGCAGGCAGTTGCCAACTTGAACGGCGGGGCACGTGCCCTGTTGGAAATAACACCCAAGAAGCCACTTGCATGTGTCTAGGTTGTAAGTCAGGTTAAGTACATGCCCGTGGTACGAACCAATTCCGTTTTGATTTGATACTTGCTGAAGATGTGGTGTAGAACATTGGGATTTCTTGTGTTTAAAATGCAGCTCTACAAGCTCGGATAGGATAGCTCATCCCACAGCGGGCCGCGCTAGTGCGCCTGTCAGTTTATTTGTACGTTTCTTAGTCAAACCTATTGTGCCGCAATGGTTACGTGTTCATAGGGCCCGTATCATTCCCATGGAATGGCGCTTTACGCTACAAAACTGGGAGCCAACATTTTGACAACCAGCCATATATATATATATATATATACATATGTTGTATATATATATATATATATATTTGGCGCTGTGTTGCTTGACCCACGTAGAGTGGATAGGGCAGAATCGTGTCACATTTGCGTGCGACAAGGCAGAAAGCTTTCGATGATAGGAAGCTGAATGCCGACCAGGGCCCAACCGATTGACCATGCGCATGACTCATGTTTAGAAATTCGGTGGGCTTCCTTGGCAGAAAGGCAGAAAACATGGGACATCAATTCTCTTCTTGGCAACTTTTATGGAATCACCCCAATGTGCAAGCACTCAAACCAATTTGCGACAGCAAGCCGCCCCCACTCCTTCCATGAACTGGAAGCCTTCAAAAGGATACTCAGACACCAAAAGATAAGTGTTTGAACAGGTGGTTGGGAGCCAAGGAGCTTGTAGCCTGGTGCAAACAAGTCTGTTGCAGTACATCGTGGCGGCATAGATTATTCTATGCACACATCAAATTAAGCACACTACGTCTTGGATGGCTTACCTCCGAATATCTTGCTTCACACAAATATGCACGTCCTACGTTTTGTAGTCACAAAGGACGTCATAGCCGGCATGTTACTTGCGGACTGAATTGCGCTGCCCGGGTTGCAGGCGCGGTCTAGTTGTTCTGCGCCACACAGTGGTGAATTAACAGGCGTGCCCATGGAACAATCTGTTTTGCTAAAAAGACAGCGCTCCTCGAAGGGGATTCTATAAATTGATTGGGGGGCCATGCGTGAATTTCAAGCGAAATTCACTAGTTAGAAGGGTGTGTAGTCATCATCAGGGTGTCTTGCATGAGGTGCTGTTGTCTAGGTTTTTGCTCTGGCCCCGTTGTCGGAAGCACATGAGCCAATTGCCCAGACGAATCCCTTTATTACCCTGAAAAAGCGGTGGAAGGGTAAGCCTTTCCGCCCCTCAGGAAAGATGCGCGCGTGTTTTTTTGGAGTTGGCCGCTTTGTTGGGCTGTTTTTTTTTTTTTTAAGCGGGGCCAAAGGGAGTAAGACGCACCCATATCTAGCCGCCATGTCAAGAATTTTACGTATACCAATTGCTCCCTTGGGTCATTCATGGGATGCATCCACTGGAGGATCCCTTCCCCCGCAGGCCTCATGGCCATCAGCGCCATCGGGGGCCTGTCGCCTGGGGCCCAGACAAAGGTGGATGGATGTGGCCTCTTTGGCTGAATCGACGAGTTTTGATCATTTTCTCCTTTTGGCTTGCGTTTGCGGTTCTTTGCAGCTTTCTCTTGGAAACGTTGACTTTCTACTGATTTGCAGACCACTCGGTGCTGTTACACCGAGGTCTCAGAAGACTGCGCAGTTCGGGCTGGCACTGGGTGTGACTGGCGTCACAGGCCGGGCGGATGCCCCCTCAAATCGATTGACAGAATTCCCCAGTGATGCACACCAATGGGTCCCAATTCAGGAACCCGGTCTTACCAGTTCGCCAGTGCTTAACGCCTGCTGACCTATTTTGGGGGAGAACTCAGGAGTTGTACAGAGGAAGCTCCATATTTGGGAGTGGTTTGTTCGGAGTTGGCGCGTTTCTGGTGGGTGCGCGCAAGAGGTTTCCGAAGGCCAACTGGATACGCGGTTTCATGGAGTCGGAGGTTGACATCCCGTTGAAATTGAATCCATGTCTTTGCATCATCTTAAGCTGTCGGATTTGCTACACTTGCCATCCCAAAATACAAACTCGGCTGTAATACATATGTATATGTATGTATATATGTATATATGTATATATACACATGTATGTATGTAATGTATGTATGTATGTATGTATGCATGCATGCATGCATGCATGTAATGTATGTAATGTATGTATGTAATGTACGTAT